ACAGCCATTCGTACGGCCAGCGCAAAGCAAGGCACTGAGTGAAGGTGCTGTGTGCTCTCACACCTGCACGCACCGTGGCTCACTACAGAGTGCAGGCAGGATGAAAGCAGGGGCAAAGCAACATGCCAGAGGTGAAGGAGGGGAACGAAGAAACAGCACAGGCTGAGATGCAAGAACAGAGATGACTTTTGGAAGAAAAAGGAAAAAAAAAAAAAACAACAAAAAAATGAAATAAACAAACAAGCAGAACAAGAACAAAATAGTCAAACCACTGTTCAGCTACTTCTGTTCACAACACATGAATTCCTTTTTCAATATTTTGCTTTCAAAACCATGTTTTTAATTCCCATTTCATCACCAAATAAAAGAAAGACAACCTCCAACCTGCCCCAGTCTGGGCAGAGCCAGCAGTTAGGCTTGAAGGTGCTCGTGGGCCCCCCATCGTGGGGCACTTGATGCTGTGAATGGAAGCCCACACGAGGTGCCTGCTGCTGCTGCTGCTGCTCCTGCCCAGGCCAGTGGCAGCGCTCAGCACAAGCAGGGCCACCAGAGCCAAGCACAGCCCTGCTGCTTCCTGAGGGTGAGCTTCTAGCACTGATTGTGCCGGTCCTGGCTTTTTCATTAAATGCAGAGGACTCTGGCGGGGAGGGGTTGCTCTACACACAGCACGAGTAACTGGTTTCAGAGCAGCCCAACAATAGCTGTGCCCAGTGGCCAGCCGAGCCTCCCCCAGCACAGCAGGCTTCCAGATGTCCAGCCTTCCTCCCACCCCAGACTCCTAATCCCCTACTTTGTCTGAGCTCTGGCTGATTTCTGATGCATTCAGCTTACCCAGCTGCTAGTGAACATCTGAATAGTTCCCCCTTCCCTCTCACATTTCACCTTGGAGGAGAAGCACTTCACCATTCCCAGCTCCGCCTTTATCAAGGCAATTAGTCCAACACAAAAGCGGTGAATGGGACCATGAGAAGATCACTGGCCTGTAAAATCCCCAATATTTCAAGACAGGCTGAGGCTAAATATGACTGCTTCTTTTTAAAAAAAAAAAAAAAAGAAAAGAGTGAGTAACCAGAGTGCTGACCTTTCTGATCACAATGCAAAAGAAACAACTCAGCAGATCCACGAAGATACAAAGCAGCTACCAGAACGTAAAGGAAAGTTTACAAACACAGCAGCTGTAATTCCTTCCATAACATCGGAGGACCAAAGTTTGCGAGGAACAAAAGGAAATGATTAACAGGGGAAATATGCGTGGTACAAAAAAGACTTTTTAGTCCAAAAAGGGATGTCCATATTTAGAAGCGCTGATTCTTGTCGTCAGGGCCCTGCTTTTCCTGAATGCATTTCTCCTCCGTGAAAGAAAGAAGTCACAAAGGGAGTTTGTGGGCTGCTCTGTCACATGCGCACAGTGCACTGCTTATGTTCCTCGAGGAACAGGGGAAAAATGCAAAGACTGCAGAGCAAGTAAATAAATAAGCAGAAAATTCTTGTTCTTATTTGGGAGATGGCTCCTGCCGAACGCGTTCAAAAGCAAAGTGGCAGATGTGCCTTGGCACTCCTTGCTCGCATCTCCCACCGCCAGCGTCCCACAGGTGCCACCACCACCCCCAGCCAACAAGCAGCGTGAGCAACAGGTCCTCAGTGAGACAGCTGGATGCCAGCTCCTCGGGGCTCAGCCCTGTCTCAGAGCAGCCCTTGAAGAAAGGGCTCTCTTTAAGGCTGTCACTGATATCTTCGCCTCGCGGCTTGCTCAGAAAAACAGGATCACAGAATTGTAGGGGCTGGAAGGGACCTCTATAAATCATCAAGTCCAACATCCCTACCAAAGCAGGCTCCCCACACCAGGTTGCGCAGGTGGGTGTCCAGGTGGGTCTTGAACATCCTCAGATAAGGAAATTCCACAACCTCTCTGGGCAGCCCACTGTGAAGAAGCTCTTACACATGTTTGTGCAGAGCTTTGTATACTTCAGTTTGTGGCCATTTCCCCTTGCCCACGCACCACTTAGAAAAGTCTGGCCTCATCCCTTTGCCTCCTGCACCCTAGATATTAATAGACATTGATCAGATCCTCTCTGAGAACTCTTTTCTCAAGCTGAACAGACCCAGGTCACTCAGCCTTTCCTCATAAGAGAGGTGCTCCAGGCCCTTTAACATCTTTATGGTCCTCTGCTGGACTCTCTCCAGGAGATCCCTGTCTTTTCTGTACCAGGGAGGCAGTACTCCAGGTGAGGCCTCATCAGGGCAGAGCAGAGGGGGAGGATCACCTCCCTCGACCTGCTGGCCACTCTCTTTTTAACGCACCCCAGGAAGCCACTGGCTGCCTTGGCCACCAGAGCACACTGCTGGCTTGTGGCCGACCTATTTCTACCAGGACCCCCAGGTCCCTCTCTGCAGAGCTCCTCTCCAGCAGGTCATCCCCCCAGCTGTACTTATACACGTGGTTATTCCTCCCTAGGTGCAATACTCTGCACTGGCTCTTGTTAAACCTCATCCGGTTCCTCTCTGCCCAACTCTCCAGCCTGTCCAAGTCTCACTGGATGGCAGCACAGCCTTTGGTGTGTCAGCCTGTCCTCCCAGCTTCATATAATCTGCAAGCTTGCAGAGAGTGGACACTATCCCTCACCGAGGTCACTGATGATGATGTTGAACAAGACCGGAGCCAGCACCAACACTAAGGAACACTGCTAAAAACAGACCTCCAACTGGACTCTGTGCCACTGATCACAACCCCCTGAGCTCTGCCAGTCAGCCACTTCTCAACTGTCCACTCATCTATCCCACACTTCCTCAGCAAACCTCCCAGCAGCTTGTGCTCTCCATGGCTCCAGAGCAGGAGGCATTCACAGCAGGAGGGGAGCAGCCCACAGGTGCCCTGGATGAGCCCTCGGCAGCCCCAGCTGCAGGCTGGGCCATTGGCACAGGCCTGGAGCCACCCCACACCTCCCCTCATCTCATCATACCCATACTGGCCTGGCAGGGGTCAGGTGCTGAGGGCCGCTCCAGCCACAGATCACCAAACACAGGCTGGAGCCCTCCTGACAAAAAGAGGCAGAGGCACACAGCACGCTGCCAGGCACGTGGCTGCAAGCAGAAACAGGCTCAGAGAGCAACTGCTTGGTGGCCAGGTCCTCTCTGCTTCACTCCACAGTGTGGCTGCAATTTGCGGTCCAGTTCATTGCATTACAGTCCAGCAATCTGGAGGTCCAAAGCTGGGAGCATCCAGCTGTCAGCCAATGACATGCAGCAGTGGCAACCCTCACACCCCCCTGCTGCAATAAGCATGGGCAGCCAACAGCTGGCCCGACACAGAGCAGACAGAGGTGCGACTGCTGCGTCCCCAGGACGGCCCCCAGCAGGCTCCCACCTTCCCGGGGATTTCTGCTAGAGCTACTTGCTGCCAATTGATTCCGTGTGCGTTTGGGTCGTGATTTTTAATTAATATTACAATGGAAAAACGAACGTGCTGCTTCCTCACACATGCATTAGGGTACCGACACAAGCAGCAGGAAACAATCTCATAGCACTCACAGCCCTTTGCTGAGGGCCAACCCCCTGTGTTGGGGCTGCGCTGAAGCAGTTCCACCTCACAGCCCGCCCAAGTCCCAGGGCGTGCATTCAGCTCACACAAAACATTTACCAGACTTCAACCGGATTTACAATTGTATGGGCTGCAGAGCAGCAGGAGAGCCGGCCTTGCAGCCCCAGCTCTCACTGGCACACTGTGGGGCTGAGCTAGGCAAGGGACAGGCTCTACCCTGCTACCTCTACCCTGTTAGAGCAGCCCCGTCCGTGCCACACTTTCCCAGCCAGCTTGGTTTGAGGACACGCTGCTCTTTGGCAGTTAGGTCTCAGGAGGAGCACGGCCCCCAGCACAGCCCAGCAGCACCAAGCACAGACAAGCTGCGCAGCGAGGCAGGTTGGAGCCTGGGGCCTCTGCCTGCCCTGCCCCTCCACACGCAGTGCCCGCAGGTGATCTCCTTTGAGCAAAGCCACTCCATCTCTGTCATGCCGTATTTTAGGCATCCAGAGAGGGGATCCAACCAGCCCGGCCACCATCTGACTTCCCAGAAAAGCAAACGGTCCCGCAGCTGCTGCACAGGCTGACTAGCTCCCCTCCAGCAGATGCAACAGAGCACAGTTTGGGAATGAAAGCCGTTTTGTAGCCAGCTCCAGCACGTTCACACAAGGGGAAGTCTCCCTCCATCCCTCCCCTCAGATCTATTTCATCGTTACCCTTCTCTACGCAGAGTGGAGGTAATAAAATACACACTTACTCTGCACAGCTTTGGAGTAAAGTTGAGCAAGGAGTTTCAGCTGCACGGCAGCCCAAAGCAGAACCGCCTGTTTGGAACACCACAAGCATGTCAGAGCGTTCTATCAAATAAACGGAGCCGTGTGAAATTAAGCAGTTCCCAATATTTCAGATGACAACATCTCTGAACACAAATCAGCGGTGGTGGAGCAGGGGAAAAATCCTATGTTATTTATATACGTTCACACTGCGGTATTTATCAGTGGCAGAGCACCAAGGGGACAGGCGCACCAGCACTGCAGCTCAATACCCCAAATTCAAGTCCCCAGAGTCCTGCAATAGCACTGTATCAAACAGCATCCCCCAGGCATGCCATATTTCAGGAATTTGCCAGGAACAGGTAGTACCTATGGCCCAAGACCTCCATCGAGCCCTGCAACTTGATAGATTTCCAATATAACAAAGACAAAGAGGTGTCAGCTCCAGCTCTTATTTGCTAATACTATCAATAGGGACTCAGCTCACTAGCAGTTAATTCAAAGCCAAGCTCGATTTGCACAGCAGTGATCTACACTAATTCCCATATGTGGCTAAGGGGAGATTTTGCCAACTAGACAATAGGAACAGCATTAAAGCTCCTGAAACGATGCCATCGCTTTTCTCTTCTGCTCCACCACTTCCCATCAAATTTCCACATTGGCATCTCCAGTCTTCTCCCTCATGACACAAGAGGCACAGGAAAGGCAGGGAATACAAGGGTACCTGTTTCTTTCCCAGGCACGGTTTTATTCAGCCTTTTAAAGCACAACTTCCCATAAAATGGGAGCCAATTTCACACTTCTTCTATTGTAGTTCTTTAAAGACATTTAAGAATTGCCATAATTAAGCAATTACAGAAGCATTTCCAAGATCCAACCAACACTAAACCATAAAAAAAAAAAATCACCACGTGCGGCTATATTCCATGAAAGTTCCTAACTTGTTTTTGCTCTCAGGTCCTACCCTATCTCAACAGTAGATCAGCGTTTTGCCCCGACACCGCAGTTATTGAGAGGTCACAGAAAGCCAGACACAGCCCAGTCAGGCGATGAAGATGTTTCTCCTCACCAGCATTGCTTCTCCTGCCTGCAAGCCTGGCCCTCGTGCATCTGCAGTTGGGCTCAGATGTGTCGGTGGCAGCACCCATACCCACACAGCAGTTCTCCTCTCCTGCCAAGCGGGTGGCACGTGGCAGCGCACATCTGACGGGGTCACCACGAGCACGTCAGCATGCCCACCTCCTCCTGGCCAAGCAGACGGGCCGCGAGCCACAGCCAGAACGCGAGGGACGGGGTCAGAGCCACCAGCCCAGGACTGAGCAGGGCAGCTCGATCCCAGACTGCGGGGCACCCTGCTGGAATTGGGAAGATCGGGTCTGCGCTGCAGTCAGAGCCACCGGAGGGGAAGAGGGGTGCCATGCCCTGCCCCGCAGCACGCGGCCGCCTGGTGTCTCTGGGAAGGGCACGGGGCGAGCACCTGCAGCACGCTCCTAGCGCTGCAGCCAGCCTAGGGGCCTCGCTCCTGCCCAGGGTTAAGATGCTAGAAAAAACCACAAGTCTGAAACAGTTTAACACAGGACAAAAAAGGCACATTTTAATATGTACAGCAATGCATTTGGGCTATAAATTTACCCAACACAACTGAAAAAAAAAAATCCAAACTATGCTTTTATACTTATTCCATAGTATCAGCCTCATTCCTAGCCACCTACCTTTCTCTGCATCTCTGAATGCTGCTATATACACACACAAACAAACAATTACGTCATGAATGTTCATTTAGGCTCCCAAGTTCAAGTAATAAAGTTCAAACTTGCATAGCATCTTATGCCACTCAGCCATAAACAGTTATGATTGCATATTAGCTGGAGCAGCCATCTCTTTCAATTCAGCCAGTTTTGGCTGGCCACCATTTATTTTTATTTTTAATCCTTGAGTCAGAATGTTTCCTAAGTCACCAGCCCTGAGGGATGCCACAGATTGGAAATGAACCTCTCGCTGTTGTTAAGATCCTTTTAAACCAGAAATTTAGAGTGTTGTCAAGAACAGTTTTAAAAATGTAATACTGTTTATTTTGCTTCAAAAACATTTCAGCATTCTAAACATACAAAAAAAACAGAACGTTGCAAATTTGTTTAAGTACAGAGTGTTTTTGAACTTCAGTTGCTGCACTGGCTCTTCACTGAGTTGACGATGAAGAGATGTCTACAGTTTCAGTTTAAAAACTACCGCACTTAACTAAAAAAATCCGTACACTTCTCATGCCAGCTGAACCCCCTTCCACAACTAAGAATGGCAGCAGAATGCTATTTCACTATATACAGAAAGACAACTTTAAGCTAAATGGACGCCCACTGTAGTGTAAATAGATCTACCCTCACAGTGCATGCTTCGGGCCATGGCACCCCGGGGAACGTACGGCCTCTCCAGTAATCACTGCTCCTCTAAGGCATCATAACTCTAAGCATGTACCACAAGAATCTGTCTAGTTTTTACAAACTATAGATATGTACAGTTTATAACCCAGGATTTTCTAGCCAATAACCATATAGTAACACCACCTTACAAATTAAAAAAATGCTTGAAACATTTTTAAATGCTTTGTTACACCAACAGCAAAGTGCACAGAGTTAGGAGAACACTAGAGGGCCTTTTCATTTTAAAAATGTTTGGAAATATGTACAACTTTGATACAGTTTCAGGGTGCTCATTACACCCATGGCCACTTCATGTAAACCAGTTACAATTTCTAGAGCACTTTTAGAAACTACAACGCGATCGGAATCCAAATTTTTTCTTTTTTAATTAAGCCTAATAAGGGCAAGAGACACCATCTCAAATAAGAGGTGCTGCATTTACGGTGTTTCCCCTACTCTATGGTATTCACATGGAGACAAGTATTGTACAGTTTTATTCGTCATCATCATCTTCATCCTCCTCTTCTTCATCCTCCTCCTCCTCTTCGTCTTCTTCCTCTACCTTTTTCCGAGCAGCTTTGGTTGCCGCTCCCTTTGCGCCATCAAACTTTCCTTTAGACTTGTAGTCTGCAACATCCTGCAAAGTCAAGGGGATGTCTTAATTTGCTCTAAGTGCCAAACACCCAGCATTTGCACAGCGGTGCATGTCAGTGGAGGGGACTGTCTTCCTGCAGCTGCGGCCCCGGAGGGCAGGCAGCCCTGCGCCCCACGCTCATCTGTACTCGTCTGAGGGTAAGGGAAGCCAACCTCTTGTCACTTTCCTGCTAGCAGGACGTAGCTCCCCTAACAACATGGCAAACTCTCTGCTGAAGCTACAGGTGTGCTTTGCCTGGGGACGTTCCTCCCTGCCGGAACGCACCTGTCTGCTTCTACCCGACTGCAACCCGAGGCACATCCACTGTGAGAGCTGGGCCCTGCAGCACACCGAGAGTGCCTAACTGCAACAGCTGCGGGCAGCAGAGCCCCCACTGCTCAGCTCTGCCTGTCACACAGAGGCACCAGCAAAGGAGAGACGCGGTACAACAGCCTTACCTTCTCGTACTTCTCCTTCAGCTTAGCGGCCTTATTGTTATAAGGCTGCTTTTCACCATCGCTGAGGTTGTTCCACATTTCACCAAGCTTCTTTGCTACGTCCCCAATGGATATGCCAGGGTTTGTGGACTTGATCTTGGGGCGGAACTCTGAGCAGAACAGGAAGAAACCAGACCTGGGGAGAAGCACCAGAGGACAGTGAGCAGCACAGCAGCACAGCCCAGCAGCAGCCCCTCCCTGTCCTGCAGCACAAAATCCTCACCTACACCTACGAGTGGACAACAAGTTGGGTTTTTAATTACTTTTTTTTTAGTACACATTTTGATTTTACTGTGGGCCAAATTTGCAGCCTTAAACCTTATTTTGTTTCTATTAAATGTTTTCTATCCCTGCCTCTCTGCAATTCCATCTTCAGTGTACAAGTCCCACTGTAGGCCTGCTGTCCGCATCTTTCGTCACCGTGATTTTAAGGGCACTGAGTATCGATAGCTCCGTCAGCACTCAACGTGCTCAGGGTTACGGGCAGCCCAGAAGTCCCACAAAACACTTCCACCACCAGTACTTCTATACCCGCAGTATGCCCCACTGACTTCTCTTATGGCAAATACAGACAAGCTGTAAGCACTGCAAGATGAAGTGCAGAAACACTCTGCACGCCATGCCTCAGGTACTTACGGTGGTCGCTTTGGGGCGTTGGGGTCCTTCTTCTTCTTGCCACCCTTAGCTGGGCCATAGTCCTTCATTTCTCTATCGTATCGTACCTTATCGGCCTTCGCCATTTCATCAAATTTAGCCTTCTCCTTGCTTGACATAGTCTAAAAAATACACAAAAAACACAAGACACCAAGCCATGTGATCACCTAATGTTCAATAGCTGGCAAACTTTGAGTACACAAGCCAACACATGTCAAGTCAACAGGGCCATTTCAGAATGTGTTTGTTTTCTAAGGGACCACTGCGGGGACCAAGGTCCTGGCCAGGGCAGCGGCCACAGCCAGCACTGCATGAGGGAGGCAGCCAGGTTGGCACAAGAGCTCACAGCTGTTACAGGGGCCAGCAGAACATCAGGCAGGGACGCAGCATGCGGACCTGAGCAACAGCAGCATCCCCCTCTGCCCTCAGATGGGCGCAGGCAACACAAGCAGATAACAGGACCAGTCATCGCTTCAAATTAAGGTACCTTCCACCTCTCCGAGCACTTCTTAGAGAACTCTGCAAAGTTGACAGGAACCTCTGGGTTCTTCTTCTTGTGCTCCTCGCGGCACGTCTGCACAAAGAAGGCATAGGCAGACATCTTGCCCTTGGGCTTCTTCGGGTCACCTTTAGCCATCCTGACTCTGTGGGGCAGAAGGGAGAATGGAACGCGTGAACTTCGGAACACACGAGTGCGTGCATAGTGTGCACCTGTTTGTACACAAACACCTCCAGAAACAACCTGCCCTCACTCACGCCTCTCCTCCCACAACACCTCCTGCCGTCTCCCACATGGCTCTGCAATCATTCTTCCTTGGGCTTGTGCAGCAGACCCGAGCCAAGCGGAACCCATCACAACCAAAGTTTTACATCCATATGTTTACATTATGCCAAAGGATGGGAGCCGGGCCATTAAGCTCACGGACTGCTGCCCACAAAGCACTACCCGGAACCCAGCGCAAGGTGTTTGAACCGGCCTCCACAGCAAGGCTTGAGCCACATTTCACCCCCTCAGCAGCCACATCCTCACGCTGGGGGCAGCCCCAGGGCCACACGGACCCCAGCCCGCAGCAGCGCCCCAAGCCCCGCACACAGCAGGGTACGGGTGGGCGCGGGCAGCCAGCACAGGCCGGGAGCAGCGGGTACTGGGTGCAGAGCTCACTTCGGGACCGACCCTATTTGTTTTTCCCTCGGGCAATAAAAATAACCCCGCAGCAACGCTCCCTATTCACGGCTTTCCAACGGTTTGAAAACCCGATTTCTATTGGCGCAACGCGGCAAGGTGCCGGCTCGGGACCGGAGGCCCGGCCCGCCGCTGCCGCCGCTCGGGGCCGGCGGGGCGAGGCGCGGGACGGGAGGCGCGGGGCGGGCCGCGGCCTGGCCGCGAAGTTCGGGGCGCGCAGGCCCGGCGCGTCCCGGCCTCCTCCCGCCATCTTCCGCCCCCGCCGCCAAGGTCACCGGCGGCGGCCGCGGGCACCTGCGGCGGGGCCGGGCCGGCGGCACGGCGGGCGGGCGGAGGGGGCAGCGGCGGCGGACACCGATAATTCATCTTCCATTTTGTGCGCCGCCTCCCGATGAAAGAAACTGCCCCTGAAATACGGCGGGGCGCCGGGCGGGGGGCGCGGGGCG